GCACATAGAACATATTACTGTAAAGAATTTGGGGGATTTAATTTCCCCTTTAACATTGTAAAAAGGAGCTGTTACCATCATTTGAAAGGATGATGTAATTGGAAACAGCCAGACATCAGATTTAAAGCAGCAACACCATTACTGGAGTCCATTATATCTTTTTAATTCCTTCTGCTGTTCCAACTCTTGTATAATCTCTTTAATGTGTTGCTGTAAAAGAAAATGAAACAAGCACAAGCAGAAGGCCCACACAGCAGTTGACATTCATCCGCAACGTAAAATTGACTGAGATCTGCGGTGATGTCACGGCGAAATCCACTAAAGGCACCAACATCTACTTTTATATCTTATTTCTTGATTCAATTGCAGACACCTACGCTTTCCTCACTTCCCTCCTTCTCAAGGCGCCGTGGAACTGAAACTTTACTGAACTAACGGCGAAATCCACTAAAGGCACCGACATCTACTTTTATATATTATTTCTTGATTCATTGCAGACACCTACGCTTTCCTCACTTCCCTCCTTCTCAAGGCGCCGTGGAACTGAAACTTTACTGAACTCTGAGCACTTCCACGCCAGACTGTTGTGGCGAGTGACATCAGAGAGGAAATCATGTCGCGGCGAAGGAAACACATGCCACATTTACCCTGTAACCACACTGACTGTAAATGTTCGAGCGCCAGAGGTGTGAGCCAGTGTGAATTGCGGATGATCATGAGAAAACGGACTGAGCGACAAGGAATACATGTCAGACCGGCCGTATCACCACATCGCTGCTACTGCGTGACAAAGAGCGGGCCGCCTTAAGAGGATTATCACCACGTGCTCATCTATGTCTAAGATGCAAGAGGCCAAAAGTATACAAGCACTTGTCCGAGAGGATGCATTTTTGTTTTGTGGCATTCCTGGAGTGACAGCTTGACATGCATCTTAATATGCATGATGCGAGCATTAAGCTGTAGCCCCCCCACCCCACCCCTCCCCTCCCTCATCATGCGATTATCTTGCAGCCCTCAAATTACCACTTTGTCGGCTAGGTGGGGGGCGTCGGAGATAAAAGAGATCAAGCTTGACTTACTGATCAAGCAAATAACTTTAAGTGCCGAGCGTCTGCCTCCACATATCCTCATATTCTGTGAGAAACACTTAATCCCCTCCTCTTTATGATAAACTCGAGGGGTGTCTGCCGTGAGACCGACTGTAGGATTTAAGGCTTCAAAGCCACCTCAAATTCAATTAAATTCTATGGCATCCAAACTCGGATATTTCTTTGCACAAACTGTGAAGCAAATTGAATAAAAGTGTCCACGTGCTCTGTTTTCTAGTATTTTTTAATGGGTCAAATTGCATTTGCAATAGCTGTTTGTACCAGACACGGAAATTCCTTCCTCCTTCCTCAAGAAAACAGCCTCATATGTCGCAGTGCACACAGGACACTGCAGCCTTGTCTGCGTCACAGTCTAAGTCATAAAAAGGAGCGTTGGGCACGGCGCGTCAGCTCCGAGAGTCAGCTGAGCTTAAAGGAAAATGGCTATTGGCATTTACTTCCTCGTACTTTCGGGAAATCTAGTTCATAGTTTTCTTAGAATTATAATTGCCATGTGTCTTGAAAGTGTTCATGTAAAATTTCATTTCAAAAAAATGAAACTACGTTTGATTTTGAGGCCTGCAGTCTCGTCTGCCGCTATTATGATGTTTACAAAATATTGTTGAACAACTTTTGGGAAAATTGTGAATCATTCATCTGGTATTCCTTAGAGGCATGATATTTCTGAATGTTCTGGACTCCTGATTCCATACCAATGTTATTTTGCACCAAAAAAAAAAAAAATGCTGCCTGAATGAGTTGTACCAAAGAGGAAGTCTGCATGGATGTACACTATGATGACTGTTGACGGTGGAACAACGTTCCACAGCTGACATCATGTCGCTGTTCGTTAGATGTTTTCGTTTGTCGGTTTCAGCTCTGATACACGAGATTAGCCGATAGCTTGAAGTCTTTGACAACACGGTGCATCATTGGGTGCAATTTTCACATCGTTGTTGAGAGGCGGAATAGCTCCGATGTCTGGGATGGTCACCCTCCGTTCTCACTGACAATGCTTTATTGATCCACGCACACACAACACATACTACAGTCATGGCTATCGGTACAAAGACCTTTTGACGTTCAGGAGAAGGGGTGGGGCTGGGAATAGGGGGGCGTGGCATCACTTCTGCTTCATGCTGCCTGCATTCGACAGCTACTTTCTTCTGACTGCCCTCCTTCCACTGCAGCAGCCCCCTCCTGTGCTCACAACTGCCCTCATCCATTCATCCCTGGAAGGGTGGTCGGGTGCAGGGGGGACCCATTTATTCTGGGTGTTTGCTTTCTGTGGGTGTGCACTCATGCCTGCTTAATTGACATTAAGATCTACGACTTGGGATTAGGTACCTGCTACTGAGCGGAGTCAGGGTGAGAAAAAGACTGCAGGACATGCAGAAAGCAAAGAGGATGAACAGAAAATATGAAAAAGTTAACTGAAGGCTGAAGGGCAGGAAAGGTGGATTCACAAAGCGACTGCTGTTCACTGTATCCAATCACAATCACGCATGGTCAAACAGTCTGAGGCTCCAGCCGTACCACAACCCTGAACAGGCTAAGGTGAGCAAGGTAGTAAATGGAAGCAGGGTTCTACATTAATGGCCCGATGGCCCTTGAAGGGCCACCACGTGACTGTGTTGGGTAACCCAAAGTTTACTGACACTGTCCCAAATGGACGGGTATACATTCTTTATTGTAGTGCATGAATTGATCATTCATCATGTATATGATTTTTAGATTTCTTCAGAATGTAACGTGCATTGCAAATCAAATCTATCGTAATCAAGATTTTTTTATCTCATCATACTGATGAGATAAAGCTGAAAAAAAAACGGATTTCCAGGTTATCAGTATAGCTGTGGTAATATATATATATATATATATTTTTTTTTAATATAATTTTTACCACCAACATTATCTAAGAAAAGGAAGCAACTTTCCACTGTCAAGGGTTGCCAGAGTAAGTCACTCGCATGCTATGTTTGGCACAATATTTACACTGGACCTTCCTTATGCAACCAAGCCGTTGGGTGGGCCGCCCGCTATGACCAGCATTTAAACCCGATCCGGTGTGATCCACTGTGTCATCCAGCCGCCACTATCTGCTTCCAAGAATCTTACATTAAAATAACTTCGCCTCCAGTACAAAGCAAACCTCCAAAATAGCGAGCAGCTTCAGCTCTTCGCCCAAATCTTCAACCCCAAAATAATGAACACAACCGTGGGTAACCTAATCTGCTCAAAATCTGCAGCTACTCAGCAAGTGGGTTAGGAAAGCAACCCAGCATTTTTCTAGCGTGCATTCAAAATACACCCGCGAGGATGTGCAATATTGCACATCCAATCGGAGACAATGCAAGACAGATGCAATGTGTTGGTAAGCTTCCACCATCTAATTACTACTGCAATGTCGCTCACCCAGCGGGGGAGGAGAGAGAAAACCTCACAGAGAGATTGGAGGAGTTGGAGCGAGCAGAAGGATGGCCGATAAGCTCACGCTGTATGTTTGGTACATATTATTTCTGTCTGAGGGTCCAATGCACATTATGCCCATTCATAATGCAAAACCGCCATGCCGAGTTAAGGTGGCAGGGATGGGCAAGCCACACCCGCATCCGCCCAGCGTACTTGCCCCATTATCACCTCCTTTTTACAGCAAATTTGTGACTTCATATTTTTCACCTATAAATGTTGATTTAAGATCTTGATTCAGATGGAAGTCATTTTCAACCCATTTGCCAGGCCACCAGACATGGTGAGACTAATCTCAGAATCTCTGCACACGGTCTCAGCATGGATGTTGCAGCAGCACTCTCATGCCCCGCCTGCAGTGATCATCAACACCCTCTCAAGACTCAGCCTCTTCAAAACTAACAGACAAGACCCGAAGCCCTCAGGATGCTGAGCCGCAGGCATGTGGCCACTTAGCGAGTACACATTGTTCCGTGTTGAACCTACTCCTACTTCATGATTGCTTTCAGTCCAAAAATAATTAAAAAAAAAAATCCTATTGACTAGAAGTCAGGACTGCATGATAACATCTCATTGTAACAATGATGGATATTTTTTTAAACCAAGCTTGCAATTCAGCAGTGTCTACATCAACGCAAATAAGCATTAATAAAAAGCGTTCCTCAGGAATCACTTCCTAGAACCTCCTATTACACTTCCCTCCATTATTTGGTGCTGCAGCAATATTTTTAACTCATTCACTGCCAATGGGTACAATGTCCGATTGAGGAATGTATTACTTGTTAAACACTGGAGTTGAATTCAATTTTTTAATTAACCAGCATGATCTTTTAAGATCGCATTGAATATCATCTCAATAGCACAGTATATAATCCTTATTAATTCGTATGTCAAAATTTCGGTTTTGGTTTCACAAAGAATGTTGTCTTGGGGACAAAAATGCGGCCAAGAAGAATTAACACCACATGGCTTCATCTCATCATCTCACAGCAAGCTGCAGCATACAATATTGAACTATTTCTCCACCTCCAGCCCACTTTGCTCATTTTCCCTCCTTCATATCCACCCTAAACATCCATCAATCATGATCGACGTGTCACGCTCGTTTGTAGAAGAAGCGTGGCCTCAGTGGATCGATCCGTAATTATCTGCGGCATATCAGTGATCACTAACCCACTGTGGAGCATTTCCTTGAGAGATAGCGAAGGCGCGTCCGCTTGATTAAATCAGCACGGAGTCTACGAGCATGGAAATAACACAGCAAGTGTGTGTCCACTGCGCCGAGGCGATCCCATTGTTCCGCCCGTCTGAGCTGAGGTGAGCTCATCAAGACTAAAGAAGCTTCCAGCCAATTAATGCGCGGACAACAGTCCAGCAAAATAAAAATTACAACGTGATTTTCAAAGGTTTTGTTATAGTAGAAGAGAAAAAGGAAACCCTTACCGGCTACTGTGCATCTGTCCATGTAATTGAGGACGTTCCCGAAACTGAGGATCACAGCAGCGACGACCGGCGAGCGGCATCGGAGCAGCGCCGCTCGAAATTTCTGCCCGGGTTTGCAGGCGTGCAGATCCGGGTTGGATTTGAGCGCGGGGCTCATGCTGCCCGACAGCGTGCGCACCTCATCCAAATTGCTGCAGCCTTCCAGCTCGCACCCATCACCTTCCACGCACATATTGGTGCAAAGTGATTGGAGGAGAAGAAAAAACAGAAAAGGAAAAAAATATATATTTGGACAGCGACCAGGGTGAGCGGTCCTCCGTGGGAGTTAGTCGCTGTGGAAGTGTTGTGTTGAAAGCTGGAGCGCAGGATGAGCTCTTCTCGGGATCATATTTTTTCCACCAGTGTGTAGTGACTGAGGGCCAGTGCGCTCCTGAGTTGTCTTTTTTTCCCCCCCTGTCAACCAGGCGCGCGCAAGGGGTGTGGCTAGGAGGTTTAAATCACACCCCTTTGCGCCCTGCAGCCAATGAGGGAAACGCATCTGCTTGAGCTGCGGATGCCGAAGAAACAACAGCAAACCGGGTGAAGAGACCGTATGAATTTACTGACGGTTGTGAAGAGTAAGGATGACTTCACTTATTTAATGATTAACGTTAATAAGAGAAATTATGATGAATAGGTTTCGCTCAGCTCAAAGTCCATCTTTCAGGTTATTGTATTTTGCATCTTTTGGTGATTACTGTATATTCTTTTTTTCAAATTCTGATAGTAAACTATATTGTAGTATAATAAGAATATTTTGGGCAGAAATTTCAGGGTGGACCAAAGGATAACAGCTTTGACGTTCTCTTAACTTGAATTGCACATGTCCTACTATTCAATGTTTCAGTACTTTTTGCACAATTCGCTTTTCTCGAACAAGGAGCTGAATGGAAAAATTCACAACAAGTGTTTGATTCACGAATCGACAAATACAGTACACAGTATTGACACAGCTGAGATGAGTTACCAGGTAGTTTTTACACAATTATGATAACTGGTAGAGTGATAGCCCTCAATAATTCACAACACCATACATTTCTTTTAATGTGGTCACCTTGAGCTGCTATGTTAAAACTTGATGTGAATGATGTTCACAATATTTACAATCAGCATTAAGCTTGCACAATCAATTTCCAGTGGCACCTTTTATGCTAAAGATGTTTATGGTTATAACATATCAGCATTTGGCTGAACTATTCAAATAAGACAGGTTTTACAATGTATATTTATTTTTGAATATACTGTAATATAATAACAAAATGGATGCACTAATAGCTGTTAGAAAACTGCAATTGTTTGTTTACATTAAACAATCACCTGCTACAGCCAATGTGAGTGACATCATGCAACACTGTGATTACAAGATTACAATTTCAGCAACCCGGTGCCCTCATACTGGTCAGTCCTTATGTTGGCAGCGGCCTGTTGGTGCTCAGATTCTGCGCAGGAGGGAGAGAAGAAGATCCGTATGCTCGCTTCACATTTGACATACGGGAAATCCGCACATTTCATTCCCTTTCGTTGGCTTACCGAAATGTTGTGTTGTATTGTTTTTCAGTGAGAGAGAACATGACTGAAGTCTCCACTGACCAGTATAAAGGCACCACAATGCTAAAATTGTAATCTCAGAGTCAAAGTGTGCATGCCGTCGCTCACCAGAAGAGCTTAAATCCCAAACTTACAAATCTTGAACCACCACTGTAGATGGTTATGCTTGGCTAGCAGAGGAGCTGAATTTCTTCTTCCCTTTGCTTCAAGCAAAAAAAATGCCAAAAACAACTCTAACCCAACTGGCAGTGTACTGGAATCTCAACCTTACTTTGAGAAAGCATGATTTGAGACGTATACGAAGGTCAGCAAACTGCAGGCAGGCAACTGGACCTCATAATGTCACCAGGTACTAAAAGTCTTTGAGAGAGAGAGAGACAGACAGACAGACAGATCTGAAAGAAAACCCACGTAGGCATTAAATTGATCTTCTCATTTTTATTCTGTTTCTGAAATGACAGCTTGGAGTTTCTTCAACACTGATGTCACGGTAAAACAAGTGCCTCATCGTTGACGTTGGTGTGAAAATCTAACTGATGATAAAAAACCCACCTAAGGTGACAAAGTCTCAAAATGCGTCATCTTAATATGATGGGAAAGAATTCTAAAACTTCACACCTAAAGATATTCTCACAGATTACATCAACAGGTCATGAAGACCTGATGAGTGTTCAAATCAAGGACAGTAAGTGCATCTGAATGACTTTAGAAGGCCCAGTGTGGGCCAGTATGGCCTCTCAGAGTGAAAGCAGCTATTTATTGTTGTCGTGACCCTGTTCTTTTGTGTCTCCAGCAGATGGCAGACGAGGGTCCGCCCTCCAGTGTGCACACCTGCTGCCAATGTTCAAATCAATTAGTCGTGTATTTAAGGACTGTCAAGATGCCAAGCCTTTGTCGGATTATTCCTCACCTTGCTCGAGACTTTGTCTTCAACTGTTGAATTCTCTAGTCTAGATGATCTCTCTTATTCACGTCATGTGTTTTCTCGCCTCGTTTTTTTTCTTTTTTTTTTTTTTTTTAATTCTTCATAGTAAGTATTTTTATTGCTAAGCTTCGTCTCAGTTTTGTATCCTTAGTTGAATTTTCTAGTCTAGATGATCTCTCTTATTCACGGCATGTATTTTCTCGCCTCGTTTTTTTTTCTGTTTTTTTTTTTTTTTTTGTGTTTATTGTACTTGTGTTTTTGTATGAATAAACTTTTTTTTTTTTTTTTAAATTGCATCTCAGGCCATGTTTTGAGAGTCCGATTCTGTGCCGGACCCTTCAATCGTTTGTTGTACTTGTGTTTTTTGTATTCATAAACTTTTTTTTTTTTTAATTGCATCTCAGGCCACGTTTTGAGAGTCCGATTCTGTGCCGGACCCTTCAATTGTGAACATGCTCATTTTGCAGACATAATCACTCAAGTGACGAGTCGGTTTGTACGGAAACGGAATCAAATCATCCATTGATCCATCAGCCAATGATGTCTGCATGATGTCTGGTGAAACGTCTTTGTCAAGACTTGCATTGTTTTCAGTTGATTGTTTCTGCCTACCTGTAGTCAGTGAATGCTTTGTCAATGTTTTAAACAGTCATTGAAAGTGTAACTTTCTCATTTTGCAGACGTAACCATTCAAGTGACGAGTCAGTTTATACGTAAGCGGAAACGGAATCAAATCATCCGTTGATCCATCAGCCAATGATGTCTGTATGATGTCTGGTGAAACGTCTTTATCAAGACTTGCATTGTTTTCAGTAGATTGTTTCTGCCTACCTGTAGTCAGTGAATGTTTTGTCAATGTTTTAAACAGTCATTGAAAGTGTAACATATGAAAGTCCATACATTTGAAGCAAGGAAAACAAAAAAAGAAGGGAATCGTATCTTGGCATCATTCAGCCATGAAGGCTGAGTGCTTGGATGTTTGCCTGGCTCTGCCCTGCAGGCTTTTGGCATTGCGAGGACCTCAGAGTTGTGGTCTGAATATTCGTTTTTTTTTTTTCCCCAGAAACACTCAAAAGCAATTAGCCACTCACTTCCCTAATATCATCATTGAAATTCAGTCTTGTGTTCATTCTGAACTCTGTATACGAACAAGGCAGCCTGCTCGTACTGTTAGAAAAGTATTAGGTAATACTGATCATTTTGAATGGTTAATTGAGCAGACAGATGAGGGGAAAATTCAGGCAAAAAAAGAAGAGGCCCAAAGCAGACAGTGGTCTCATGTGGATAGCTTAGGAAGGAGCCCCTCAAGCGCAGTTGTTCTAATCGCTCCCTCTGCACCCCCTTTTTTTTTTCTTTCTTTGAGATGTGTTTGATATGCTGCGCATGTCTGCGGGATCTTGTGTGTTTTTCTTTCAAACAGAATAGCTCGGTGGACCTGGGCCCTACCTCTGGCAGTTTTTCTGCTATGTGGCCCAGAGCCACTAAGTCACCACTCACTCTCTGAAGCCTTCCTTCCTGTCTCTGCTCAGGGCCAGCCTCCAGTGCAGGATGGGAGATAACTCCGCTAATCATCGGGCCCAGCGGCTGCAAGGCGATAAGGCCGACCGAGTCTTGCTGCATCAAAAATGCAAGTGAAATTTAAAAAACACACTGACACTTGTCTGTCATCTGAATGTTGTTTAACTGAAAATACAGGTCCGCGTTTTGTGTTTGTAACAATGTGTGCAGTTGTGATATTTCATCCTGGTTCAAATTTCCTTTAGGGGGAGAAAAACCAAAAATGCTTAATGATAGAATTCAATAGAATGAGCCATAAACATAAGTTTAAAAAAACCATACTGACACTTGTCTGTCATCCGAATGTTGTTCAACTGTAAATACAGGTCTGCCTTTTGTGTATGGAACAATGTGTGCAGTGGTAATATTTCATCCTGGTTCAAATTTCCTTTAGGGGGAGAAAAACCAAAAATGCTTAATGATAGAATTCAATAGAATGAGCCATAAACATAATTTAATCTAATTTTTTATAATTAAAAATAAATAATATGCTAATTTGCTGTTGCCCTTAACAGTGTAGAAAATGTGAATCTTCGTACATTTCAACTCCTGAAGATTGTACTTTATAAGCAAATGGGAAAAATAATTGTGTAACAGTACATCTAATTTTAAATGAGCATCATGTTTTCAATTTTTTTTTTACAGATCTGTAAAAACAATACAATATGCCTTATATAGAGAAGAATATTGCATTTTCTTTAATATTACCTTTTTATCATTTCAGAAAGTTGAATGCTTTACTTGAAACCTTGTTTATTTAGCTAAATTAGTCTACCAAACAATAGTTTTTGTCCAAATCCAGTAGTAATAACACTACAGGATTGTTCCTTTGTTGCTCGAATGAGTCATGTTTCAGCCAGTTTAATGTACACATTTCCCCATCCTGCATTCATGGAACAATCTTCGGACTACACGTTCTTATTTTTCCAGAGGAACACAATGTACGCTGAAGTTCCGGGAGAAGTGAATGTACAGACTCACCAATATTGTGTCCACACTGATTCTGACGTCAGATCTTGGACACCTCAAACTCAGATGATTGACAGCCTTGCAGGAGCTGTTGATGTCCTTCGGACGGTGAGTCGAACTGGTTTTCTGAATGGTCAGGCGGTGAAGCATCTCACTGGACCAGTTTTGTACAGGCCAGTGAGCATTGAGGTTTCCTCCATTCAACAAAGGTTGTCTTGTATAAAAAAAAATGCTGAACTGCATACATCGATTAAGTGCTGTGAAACACACTTTAAAAGGGCCAAAGTCATTTTCGAGGTGCTTTTCACCGTTGCCTCCAGTTTGGTAGAATTACAATACCGAATGTTAATAAAATCTGTTTTTGCATTTGTCGTTTTTTGCTCCAAAATGCCTTGAGTTTAATTCAA